AGTGGTGGCCCGCCGATGCGAATGTACATTGTGCATGTATTTGCTTGATGTGTCCCTAAAACACGTCGGGTGATGCGGCCGCGAATCTGGCTAACTAAACTGTACTTTACCTGTGAACACGCCCTGCTAGTGCTACTTCAAAGTACAGTGCTGGCAACTGAAATCCGACCCCTGAACGGTGGGTTCACATTCTAACGGTCTCTGTTTCGTAGTTTTACCACCCCGTATTGGGTCTTTGCGATGTGAGCGCACCGCTCAGGGGGTCGGATTTCAGTTGCCAGCACTGTAGCTGAGCTGCATACCCCTGTCGCTGCAAAGCGCAAGCCTTCAAGGTCAATGTACATCGCATGCCTGCCAGCTTACGTCACCTGTTGTGACCGTTGGGGAGATTTCCCTGGCTTGAGGTTAGGCTGCCAGTAGCTAGGGTGATCGCCTGCCCTCAATCAGCATGGATGTACATGTAGTATCAAGCGTATATCACCATGATGGTTGGTTGGTTGGTATATTTTATTTTACTTCGCCAGAATGAACAGGCATTGCTGCCTTCTTGCCTGGACAAGTGGATTGTCCAAGCTCTCACAAAAAGACGAAGAAAGGAAAGAAATATTACATGAGAGTGTGAAGCATGCAATCTTATAAAATAAAAAATAAAAAATTTCCATGAGAGTGTGACGCATGCATGATGAGAGAGAAGAGATAGATTCGAGATAGAGATAGATAGATGGAGAGAGAGAGATAGATAGAGAGAGAGACTGCTTTATTGCCTGGACAAGTGAACTGTCCAAGCTCTTACAAAATGACCAACAACAACAGCAACGGCAACAACAACAGCAACAGCGACAACAACAACAGACCAACAACAACAGCAGCGGCAACACCACAGCAGCAGCAGCAACAACAACAACAACAAGAGAGAGAGAGTGAGAGAGAGAGAGAGAGAGAGAGAGAGAGAGAGAGAGAGAGAGAGAGAGAGAGAGAGAGAGAGACGGCTTTACTACCTGGACAGGGAATTGTACAAGCTGTCACAAAATGACCAACAGCAACCGCAACAACAACGACAGCAGCAGCAGCAGCAACAACAACAACAACAACAACAACAACAACAACAACAACAACAACAACAACAACAACAACAACAACAACAACAACAACAACAACAACAACAACAACAACAACAACAACAACAACAACAACAACAACAACAATAACAACAGAGAGAGAGATAGATAGATAGAGGGAGAGAGAGAGAGAGAGAGAGAGAGAGAGAGAGAGAGAGAGAGAGAGAGAGAGAGAGAGAGAGAGAGAGAGAGAGAGAGAGAGAGAGAGAGAGAGAGAGAGAGAGAGAGAGAGAGAGAGAGAGAGAGAGAGAGAGAGAGAGAGAGAGAGAGAGAGAGAGAGAGAAAGAGTGTGTGTGTGTCAGAGACACAGAGAGAGAGAGGGGGGGAGGAGAGATATGCGGATTGTTAAAATGGATTTCGACATGAAGTTAGGTACAGAGAATGTTAATATGGGTAAAGGCTGGGCAAGTCGAGAGCCGTGGCTAGAGCTTTAAATGTCTGCCAATCACCTTCCGTACGGACTGCAACTGGGAGAGCATTCCACAGAATGCTGCTAACAAACTGAATTGAACGACGTCCAGCAGGACCAGGGAGGAAAGGAACTCTCAGCAGGCTTGACACTTGACCCCGTGTCGTCCTCAGCTGAGGTGTGGCAGGGTCGTTGATTGGCACGAACAGATTCTTTAACAGGGGACTTGTCTTGTCATTTAAACATTTGAAAACGAAGATGGCAAGCTTCTGGAAGAGAAGCTGTGGCAAGCTTGGCACACCCAGTAGCTCGAGAAGGGGGGCAGTCGGGACCAGAGTCCTTTGCTGCAGGGTCGCTCTGACACCGGATTTTGACAGGCGGTGGAGTTTATCCAGGAGCTGCTTGGAAAGACTGGAGAAGAAACAGTTGGATCCATAGGACAGATGAGCCTGTATCATGCTGACATACCAGACTTGGCGTGCTCTTAGGCTCAGGGACCTGCCGTGTCGCCATAGCTGTCCAATTACTGGCCCGATCTTGCGTGTTACATGGCTGATATGTGGCTGCCAGGAGAGGTCATTGTCGATTACAACACCCAGGTATTTCGCAGATGTTGTTGCTTCCAGGGGTTGTCCTCGACAACGTACATGTTCTTGAACATCAGCACCGCCTCTTGGCTTTACAAACAGAACTTGTGTTTTCTGGGCATTCAGAAGTAGGCCGATGTCATCTAGCCACTTGGCGAGGTTGGTCACTGCAGACGACAGAGACTCGCAGACTTGCTTGGGACACGCGTTGGAGCAATCGAGAGCGATGTCATCAGCGAATTCCTGATCTGCCACATCCGGAGGCATCGTTGACTTGACGTCAGCAGTGTAAATTACGAACAGGAGTGGGCCTAAGACACTGCCCTGCGGAACACCGCGAGAGCAAGGAACAGTCCCTGACAACTGATCCTGCAATTTGATCTGCTGTGTCCGGCCAGACAGGTAACTGCAGAACCAGTTGAGTGCAGTTCCTGAGATGCCTAGCTTAAACAGTTCAGTAACGAGTCGCTCATGCCTGACGCGGTCAAAGGCCTTTGACATGTCGACAAACACGATGCCGGTATACTTGCGCTCTGCCCGTGCCATTTGCCATCGATCAACAGCATACGTTAAGGCATCTTCTGTGGAGTGAAGCTTTCGGTAGGCGAACTGAGTAGGCGGAAGAAGTTGCTTGGAGTCCAAGTACTGCGTGATCTGATTTTTTACAAATGCTTCTGTGATGCGGGAGATAACTGGGAGCAGTGACACAGGGCGGTAGTTCTTTGGCAAAGTTGGGTCTCCACTCTTGAAGAGCGGACTGACGTGGGACAACTTGAAGGACAGGGGGAACTCACCGGAGGACAGGGATATATTAATGATGCGTGTAAGTGTGGGGGCAATGGTTCGATAACACTTTTGCAGGATGATGCTTGGAACTTGGTCACTGCCTGTTGCCTTGAAAGGGTTCACAGATTTCAAACTGCTTGCCACATCCTCGACTGTCACTACACTGAAGTCGGTAAATGCTCACAGCCAGGGCTTACTCTTGGTAGTATCAAGAGTTCAGTCCATACGGACTCTTGGTAGTATCAAGAGTTCCGTCCATACGGACTCTTGGTAGTATTGTAGAGGTAAACAACTGGGAATGCGATGCAAGCACATTAACCATGCCTATGAAGAGAGTGCCAACCACAGACTTACACTAACATTAACACCAACTTGCCCTAACATCCCTGCGGAGTAGCTCCGCACAGCTCATGCAGATCTAAATGACTGTAAGTCTGTACTACAAGTAACTACCAGGTAGATAATGCCCGGCCCTCTCGGCAAACCTGCAAGAAAGCACCACTCTTTCTACCGCCAAAGTCGCAACATCTCAGTTCGTAATAATAGTTTATACATGGTTGTAGCGCCAACATCCTCGTTTAGTTGAGGGTGTTGAAAAGGTATCAGTTATGTGCAAGACAGGTAGTGACCAATCATGTACAGTAATTTCAGTAGCGAGAATTCTCGGACTGCCTAGAGCGCTCAACACCACAGTCCCCAGTCCACATAGGCAGAAGAGGACAGAGACAACCGGCTACGGTTAGGGTCCGGCGGATTCTGCCGGCAGAAAAATTGGCAGAATTCGGTACTTTTTCTGGTAAGTTTCATGCATGTTTGGTATGTGGATAAAACATGGAGCAGAATTCGAATTGCCCGCCATAAGGTTTGTATGGTTCTGCCAATTTCACTGCTTTTCGAGCAGAATCTGCCACCTTTTCGAGCATTATCCGCCAATGCCTAGCGTGAATTCCCGAATTGCCAAGGGTGCTCAACACCACAGAGAGGTAGAGGAGGACAGAGCAGAGACAACCGGCTATATCATTGCTGTAACGCTGCGTTTCATACACCTGCATAATATGAACTACTAGTCTGCACACATGTACATGTACACGATAATTATTATGTACAACATACGTAGATCTACCTACCTAGCTGTACCCGGTCGTCATTATCATGAATCATCACAATCATGTCCTGTTGACTGTTGTTCAGGCGATCTGTCTGCGCGCGAGACATAGATCTACACAGACGATTAGGCCACCCTTTCTTTTTTCGTTGTTTAACGTCCGCGCCCGCGTACCTTTTTGCCTCCGACCGGAAAAAAAAACAAGAAAGTAGTAGTACCAATAATATGCGAAGTTGTAAATACATGATTGTGTAATTTCACAGTGTGCCGATCATGACCTTAAACTTATAATCTTGCCTCCCGGGCATGCCTTTGTCTTGTGTTCTTTTTCTTTTTTTGTTGGCTTTTAAATATCGTACGGTGTGTGTCCTAGTAAAAATCCAGATGTAATGAATTCATGACATGCTAACTCCATGCTATGTACCTGTTTTGTTGGATTCATCAGGCATGTGCTCCAGTGTACCATCAAAGAGTGTTGTTCTATGCCTGCAAGTGCCGTTAGACCCAGAAATATTGTATATATCACATGCTTTACTGGTCAAAATGTTTGATTGGGGTTTCCAGTTTTTGGAATGGGCTTTTGTTTTTTTTTCGCCCTCCCGCGTACCTTTTCGCGAAAAAAAGGACGTTAAACAATGAATTAACAAAGGGTGGCCTTAGTTCCAAAACCTTTGACACTGACAGGTATCATGTCACTGTCAAGACGCGAAGTGGGCACGAAATAAGAATTATGGGTGTTTGTCCCCGCGTTGGCTCGTGCACGCGTGATCATGATGCAGTATTTGATTATCAACTAGGACTGGGTAAACAATTATTTTTGTCACTGCTCAATCCTGTGCTGTATGCCAGCGGAGCATGTGATCAGTTCTGTTCTACCAGTACCAGGGGTAGTCTGCATGAGTGTGTACTCATCCGTTTCCAAGTCCCCTGCCCAGGATTCTCTAGACCCCTAGACCACAAATGTCCCAGGCAAAGGTCACTACAATCATAAAAGACTGCGTTTGTTGCGAATCGCACTCAGTTCGGAGAGACATGATTTAGGTGAACAGAAACACTTCAAGTAGTTCAACGGACTCGGCGGTGATTAGAACCAGTGAGGGTTGCCTGCAAACAACATTTAATGGTAGAGCTTGTTGCCGAGCAAGGGAAGTTAGCGCTCTCGAATTTCTTTTGCGTCGTCTGGACGAGCTGGACTAGAACGCCCCTGGAGTCCTTTGCAGAGTAAGTAGTTTGTTTGCTCGAGGGGTCGGTACTGTCTGATCACAGAGTGATTGTAACGACGCTCAGCTGCGCATGCTGGCTGGTGCTGTTCTCTGCTGGAGCCAGTTCACAAAGTGTGGTTATGCATGTGCTGTCGAGGTTTGGGCCTTGGGCCGGTTGGGGTGGACCATGGTGGACAGACCATGGATGCGATCGAGACAGACTTGGTGGTGGTGATCAATCTGATCATGCCTGATGTCCATTTGTGTCTTTGCGCACCAACAAACTAATGATAGTTTACTCATTCAGCTCCGGCCTGATGTGTTCATGTATTCATGTGTACCTGTACCTGTACAAGCTAGCGAAGCGTGCCATTCACGCCACCCAGTCGAGGGTGAAAGACGGACTCTAGACTCTAGTGTCGATCTTGCAAAGCTTGCGCGCTCGCTTTTGTTGCGAGTGCGAACGCAGCCCGGATGCGAACACATAGTATTAAATCGAATCTCTTCAAAGTGTAGATTATCACTAATCTTCGCAACCCGGACCCGAGGCCGAGGGAAGTCGTCGAGGATGTCACGTATCGTCTTCGTTTTTCGGTCAGATTCATTTCAGCTCCAGTGAAGAAATCCCACCCAATTCGTTCAACCGAAAGGCTCTCTGAGTCTGTGACTGGGGTTTGCAAATCGTTATGCCTTGATGTTGCGCCTAAAGGCAGATGTCCCTGCCGTGGAAACCTCGAAGCTTGCCGTCTAGTTTGGCTGGAGGGGAAAGGGCACGGGAGGAAATGTATCAAAATTGTGATTGATCCTTTCCGCAGTAGCGGAGGGTCTTCGGTGTAGAGATAGCGAGTGAGGAGGAAGCGGTGCTTTCAGGTACATTACGGCTGGTAGGTGCGCAGCGAAGGGCAGAGGTAGAAGACTAAAATAAGTCAGTGCTTGGCTTAGCGCAGCGCATGTCACAAACCCAACAGACGAAGAGCTCCTTTTATAGTGCACGTGGTCGTGGTGCTCATGCGAGGCTTCGTTCTTATTCCGTCGTCATACACTGATTCATCATGCATTTCGTGGTGTGTTTCTTATTATATTCAGAGGTGCAAACCACTCCTGCAGACAGTGATCAAAGCAGTCGACGGGATCGTCCGACTACCCGCCGGACAGGATGAGAACATATTCGTTAGTCCAGCGACTCTGTATACTCGTCACGAGTGTAGCGCTCGCCTGTGAGTGGGGCAGTCATGCAAAGACGATCAGCGGAAACGCCACACTGGGCTCCATCCCGTCGCTGGACGTAGCGAAATGCTCCGGCATTGAACCTTACGATGGTGAGTTCGAGCTGCTAGTCTAGAGGAGAGATTTGAGTCTACAGTACTCGATCTACATGTATTGTGTATGAACTCACAACGGACACGGACACCGTTCATTCACTAAAGTTTGTACGTGACATGTCCCTTCTCCCTGGGTTGCAGTACTGTAGCGGGGTGTAAACAGTAATTAGGTGTCCTCCATTCTACAGCATGATTGAATGAGCGTGATTTGCGATTTGAGGTGACCATAGCGGTAAGCCGGCCTACTCCCAGTCCCACATGTCCCCACTGAACCATAGCGTGCTGTAGCCAGCTGTTGTGCAAGAGAAGTAGATGTCCCTGTGAATGTCGTCCTTGTACCTGTATACTAGTAACCTGGGGTAGTAGGTTGTCAGCTGGCTCATGTTCGTAACTAAAGCATAGGAAAATAGGCAGTGAAACGTGATCATGAACAAACAAATTCTGTTGTTCGAAGTCCTTCAAAGTTCCCAGGACTGCTTGGTGATCCAGCATCCACAGGGAGGGGGGGGGGGGGGGCTGTATCGAGATGACGGTGGCCAGAGTTCAGACCTTGTGTTTGAGTTTCTTTTGTCATTCAATCTGCAATGTATGCATAAGTGTCAAAAGGTGACCCTGCAGTACTGTTTGTTCACAGACGGATGGGTCATGAACAATCTCAATCAGGGCAGGCTTATCTGATTGTAGTAGACCTGAAGAGTTCGCCTTGACGCCGTTGTGGGCTGGCAAGACTGAGAAGGAGCGTGTTGGTTTTGGCTTGATGTATGAGCGAAGGCGATCAGCACTGTTTGCCTGTGTGTGAGCTAGCTACGAGCTGAGCCGATGGCGTGATAAGGCTGATCACGGGTGGGCTGGCACATGTCACAGGCATGATCATCCTGCACACAGACAGTTGTGAGTTCATAGCAGGAGTGCACTGATTTGCAGAACATATACAACCCATTCTGCAGTGCAATAGCATTCCAGTGAGATGGTGGAAAAGCCAGTATCCGTCTATCCCCTTAGAACACACTTCACTAGTAACAATGTAGATGCCTGGGTCCTAGCGTGTCCATAAATACACTCTGCAGAGTATCCGTGTGCACTCTCACACACGTGCGTTCTGGTGTGGCCTTTGGCGGAAGACTCAGTGACATGCCACGTGTTGGGTTCGGGACAGGGCTCCAGTATCAGTCACTATGCTCCGTGAAAGCGGCAGTCCAGGGTGTCCATGCCCTGTGCACGTGTTGTGACTGTACGCTGTGTACGCTGCGAGTAGCTGAGTAGCTGCTCATGCAAACTGTGCCAATGATCATGATATTCGTGCTGTGCACGCATGCTCATGCCTTGGGTTAGCGCCAAGGAATGTGTCGTACCCGTGGAATGTGTCGTACCCGTGGAATGTTGAACAACTGTCAGTGTATGATAGCAACACACAGAACTACAAACTGAAATACAGACCAACAAACAAACAGATACACACACCACACACACACAGTCACACATACACACACACACACACACACACACACACACACACACACGCACACACGCATGCACACACACACATGCACATGTGTAAGTGCAAGTGCCAACACACAATGAACTATGGTGCACAATGTGTGTGTGTGTGTGTGTGTGTGTGTGTGTGTGTGTGTGTGTGTGTGTGTGTGTGTGTGTGTGTGTGTGTGTGTGTGTGTGTGTGTGTGTGCCATGCAAACCGTTGAATGGTGCTATCCCAGCACAAGTTGCTATGACTTCTGCGGTAGCATCACTATCATCGCCTCCGGCATTGGGAGTCAAAAGGTCAAAGGTGGTCGTGTGTGTGTGTGGGGGGGGGGGGGTACGGGGCCACTGAACCCCGTGTACAGTGGATACCCCACCCGCTATGCAGATTTGTTGACCAGCTGGTGCAAATAAGCTAGACAGGGCTCTAGGGATAGGGCAGGGGAAGGTAAACACTGAGGTTAATAGGGATGACTTGGATCAGGCGCGCCGGAACCAATCCGGTTGGTCAGGTTATTACCGGACCAACTTGTTGGCCGCCAGCACATGTTCGCTACTAAGGAGAGCATGTACATGTATACCCATCGCCATATCCTACACAAACTGTATCAAGGGCCACATTACTGCCGGACCCGTCAAATACTGCATCCGGCGGTCCTGGGATGCGCCTGAGCCATTGCACTGTCTCAGAAATCTACCTGCACCTAAGGGTAGGCACCGGCGGATAATGCCGGCAGAAAAATTGGCAGAATTCGGTACTTTTTCTGGTAAGTTTCATGCATGTTTGGTATGTGGATAAAGAAATGGAGCAGAATTCGAGGAATTGCCCGCCATAAGGTTTGTATGGTTCTGCCAATTTCACTGCTTTTCGAGCAGAATCTGCCACCTTTTCGGGCATAATCCGCCGGTGCCTAGCACACGGATATCTTCTTTAAAAAAATAAGTTCCATGTTCTTCCTGTGTGCTCTGTCCGTGCTTTGTGCATGCTCCGTGCGCGCTCTGGTTGTGTTTCTGCAGACATGGGAGTCTTGATAGTGGGCAGCACTGGCATGATGTACGTGTTCAACAGCACACAAATTTTCAGAACCTACACGCTCACAATCGATTCCTGGACAGCAGCTACCAGTCTAACGTTTATGTGCAGAATTCCTCGTCTCCTGTCCCCGGGTCAACACCTGGATGCCTGCATTGCCCCCACTGTTTCGAGTTGCATAATCCCACGGCAGTAAGTGATACGTGTGTGTGTGTGTGTGTGTGTGCGTATACATGGTGTATGTGGTGTGTGTGTGTGTGTGTGTGTGTGTGTGTGTTGCAGTGGTGTGTGCAATCGATATCCAATCGAGAGGCTGTAGATTAAGTTCCCGACAATGATGGTCCCACGCGGCTCCCTTCTTTTGCTCAGTCTTCGTGTGACTTGTCTTTCATTCTCCTGGGTGGTTGCCAACACCCAGCGCATGCCAGAGTATATGGTGTGTGCGCACAGGGAAAAAAGGAGAAAAGACCAAGACGTAGGGATTCGCAGGCCAACAAAAGCCACTTCAAATAGCTGTGCGGTCGGTGTAGACCAGGCCGAATAGTCACCGTTTGACGTTTTGACGCCCATGGCCGGAGGCAATGAAAGCGATGCTACGGTGACAATGATAGCAACTTGTGCTGGAATTGCACCGTTCAACAGCTTGCAAGGCTGAAGAATTTACCCCCACTATTCAGCATGGTCTACACCATGCAGCTATTAAATTTGAAGTGGCTTTTTCTGGCCAGTGTCCCCCCCCCCACCCAGATTAGAACTGACGTTTGGAGTACTCGTATTTGTACACGACAACGGAGTTTGTCATCATTCTCACCACCATGGAAGTGAAGAAGCTTCCAGTGACTTGACTGTACATTCTGGCACAAAGAGTGACCGGATGAGCGAGATGCACATATATGGGAGGTCAGTATATACCGGTACAAGACAACCCTCGGCTGAAGAGAACCTCGTTCCGAGGCAATCCTCAGTATTCATGTCTTCGGATCATACCCAATGTAACTTTGCTTCCTTCCTTTCCATGTGCAGTTTTGGACCAACACTGAACTGCAAATATTCCGAGGTGGCGGTAACTGTGCAGAAGAAGGACCTCGGTCACAGCATCTGCTTTGTTGTTAAAGAGGCTTCAAGTTTCGATGATCCAGTGAAAAAGATTTGTATCAGATTGGTGGACGGCACACCGGTGGTTAAGGTAGGCACCTCAGTATTTGTATGAGTTATTCAGAAAGGAATATGAATGCTGGAAAGCCAGGGCAATGATGCATTCCATGCAGGCCCACAACGGCATCTTAGTATAATGATGGGTTGGTCCTGAAATTTATTTAAAAAAAACATCACCACTCGTAATCTTCTGTTTGCCGTGTTGATGTGTTGCTGGTCTGTGGAATCCGCCAGATTATACCAGGATGGCAGATGTAGCACCTAGTGGCGAGGATGGCAGATGTAGCACCTAGTGGCGAGGGTGAGGCGGTAAATATCACAACCAGTGCCCGACAAGGGGGGGGGGGGGACCTCGTGTACAGCTTTTGAATTGTTGTTCCACAGTTGGCATCGGCGGTCCGTCTTGTCTGGACCCCTTCAGTGAATGTTATTGTGTTGTCTGTCTACCTGTGTCGCTATCATACTCTCAATCACACAGACTACACCATCGCCTACGCCCTCGCCATCTCCAACAGCACCACCGACTACTACTCCGACCATCATCACTACACCACCGCCAACCACTTCCACTCCGAGTATTGCCACCACAGAGCCGACCACCACTCCAAGTATTGCCACCACAAAGCCAGTTATAACAGCAGTGACGGGAGGAGATGGACCTGGTAATGGTGCTTTCGAAGACGGGGATAAGCCTGTATCCACGGAACAGCCTGGTGAGTAATGAATCCACATGACCTTTAACTGGCACATACATCTTTCGAAATACTCAATCTGGGCATCTATACACTTAAAAGTGTATAGATGCCCAGATTGAGTATTTCGCTCCTGCCCTTGCAGTTGTTGAGCACTCTCATGTCACTGGGGTAGTGCCTTTGCAGTTTGCGTTATGCAGAGCTCACTGACTTGTCAGTTTGAGCACTCTGGCAAGGTACGTTCGGGCCTGGTTTAAATCTGGCCTTGGAAAATTTATTTTTCATTGCTATCAGGTTCGGCCTCATTTTCTCTATGCTTCGCTGATGAGTCCCGTGACAAAGAACGAAACAGCATGCTGTCCGCAGACTGCGTATTTTGCTCCTGCTCTTGTAGTAGTTGAGCACTCTCGTGTGGGGTAGTGTCTTTGCTGTTTGCGTTTTGCAGAGCTCACTGACTTGTCAGTCGGTACATGTGTGTGTTAAAAGGTTTCGGGAGGGGGGGGGGGGGGGGGGTGGTGCATGAACTACAAGTTCACAAGAATCTTGTGCCACACATGCAATTACCTGGCACGTTTTTTTCTCCCCTCCCCCCCCCCCCACACACACCCCATTTCACACCCTCTCTTCATCTTGTTGTTTGTGTCTAGTACAGTGTGAAGACAATGCCTCGGGCTGGCCGAGGGCACCAGGTCTCTGCACCTTTTTCGCTCCTTAGATTGAGCGAGGTTGGAACTCATGGGCACTTGTAAAGATTAACAGTGTAATATGAAAATAACTCATTTCTCAAAGGTATTATCTGGACCACATATGCAGTAACCGGTCAGCAGAATGTGAAAATAGAAGAAGGAAGCTTGCTAAAGTTATCAAATATGATGACAACTTGTGAGGCAATGTGGAAGACTTATTTTGTATTGATTTCGTCGTTCTGTTGTGTGGCTTTGCTTTCACTGCACCTGCTCAGAGTCGTCGTCAGGATTTCAGATTCCATTTTACGTCACAGTAGCCATGTTGGCTCTGGCTGTGCTCATCATTTTCGTTCTGGCCATTGGTCTCACTCTGGCTCACATCCAACGGCGGGTTCCGCATCCGCCTGAGATATACCAGCGGCCGGACCAGCAGGAACAACATGACAGTACCAGTAGTGCAACATACGACCTTGAGATGGGACGCGCGCAGCAACCGGAGCAATGCCCTCCAAACCAGCGGCCAGCTGAGAGAGCAAGCAAAGAGACAGTCCTAGGTCGGCCGCTAGCACAATGCCAAAGTGATGATTCTACCGTTGCAGGGACAACACGGACAAACGGGGAACATGACCCGGATGACAGTAAAGTGTCGGGGAAAGCAGACCTATAGCAATCTTAGTAGAACTGCCATGCACTGCTCAGTTCAGCTCAGTAGCATGCAAAGGCATCGGAGACACACGACGATACGGCCGCGCGTTAGGCGTAGATCAAACCAGGCACGCCGTCACAACCCTGCAAGTTTTGCTGCCGTGACGAGTGCAGAGGAGCACACAGCCAATCCGGCAAACTAGAAGTTAGTGTGTGTGTGTTTGCACTCGCACGCGCACGCCGTGTGTGTGTGTGTGCACGTGCAAGCCGTGCATGCACACTGCCAATTGTCTACTTATCCGAAAGTTGCAGCTCGAATCAACCTAACCCCTAACATAGAACCTGAATCCCTGCCTTGACAGTTCGACGTCGGCGCTTGATCGTAAAAGACTTTTTCAATTAGATAGCTCTAGAGTTGAGCAAAGCTTTAGGTATAGGCTGAATCTATTTTATACCATAGCTCCGGCAGGAACTGCCTTGGTAGGACACATTTCACATCCGTAGTATCTACAGAGCTGGTGGTAACAAGAGTACATCATGTACATGTAACAACCAGGTGTTTGGGAAAGCTTTGGTGTGCTGACTTGTCAACACTCTCATTGAGCCATGTCACTCTGACCCGGTCTTCAAGGATTGCCTGTTGCCCCCGGGGTTGTGTACTCTTTGTGGTGCCCATAGCAACCAGTGGTACCCATAGCAACCAGTGGTACCCATAGCAACCAGTGGTGCCCATAGCAACCAGTGGTACCCATAGCAACCAGTGGTGCCCATAGCAACCAGTGGTACCCATACCAACCAGTGGCACCCATACCAACCAGTGGCACCCATATTTCCAGTCGCAGCGTTGTTAGTTGTCTAGCCACCCCTATCTGGTATCGCTGGCAGCAGACCAAGGTACATGCACAGTGTATACACAGAGTATGGTGTACAACTGTGCCACCCGGCCCAGGCAGATGAGTTGAAGTGCTCTCCTTCATTTTTTAGTTCCGTATTAGAATTCCCAGTTTGCAGCTGTATTCTCAATCCTATAATTATTATGCCACACGTACGGCTATTGCTTTTGTTGGTGAAGATGACGATCTCCGTACTCGAACGGCAATTCTATTTTAATTATCATTATTTTTAAATGCTTTCCGGTTGTTCTCTACTTGGTCGATTGTGTGGTCTGTGGCTCTTGTGGCTGCTCGCATGCTGCTCGTGTTTGCTACCTGCGGCTGGGTGCCGCTTGATGTTTGCTGCGTGTTTGCCTGAGTTCGAGGTGTTCGGCAAAGTTTGGCATCCAGGGAGCATTCGTCCGGGCAAAATAATCTACGTTTTGTGTGGCTGACAGTGACTTCGCAAGCCAAATGACTTCGCTTATGAATGTTATGCATCCGTTGATGAACGTGCAACGTATGGCTTCAGTATCCATAATGTAGTTTATCCTAGATTACAAATCCAACACGGGCAGATGTTGTCATATTGCCTCCTACGTGTACCTACGGGGGGGGGGGGGGATTATTGCCTCTTTTTTCTGGGCTGTACAATTTTCCAGGGCTTGGAGAGGGTGCATTGTCAGTCTTGGAGTCCAGTGCACACACCAAGGTATTCATAGCCACTTCAGTTCAGTGCTGTGAAGAACAGCAGCATTAGCGCGCATAGCTGCATGGGCCATCGGCCTGCCACAAGATTACAATCATGTCCAGGGTGGAGCCAAGGGGAACATGGGCCATGGGATAGGTACCCTTGGAGCCGTGCAAGACCAACATGCAATGCTCAGGATACAACATCATTGCCAGGATTGAATGACATAATGGCCACGATACAAAGACACACTGTACACTATCTGAACGTCTGAATGTCATGTATGTACAGTAAAACTTGTGACTAACGATCACCCTGGCATTGGGGCCAGAGAAAGCGGTCTTTAGTGGCAGGTGGTCCTTAGTTAGAGGTTTGCACCGCCAACCATAATAATAATTAATGATGTGAGACGTCCGTGCCTGGCGAAGTGGTCTGTAGACCAGGCTGGTCGCTAGTCACGGTGGTCTTTAGTTACAGCTTTTACTGTCTACATGTAGAGGATGCCGGACAGTGCAGTGCCAGTGAGCAGCACTGAGTGCAGCGCCAGTGAGCAGCACTGAGTGCAGTGCCAGTGAGCAGCACTGAGTGCAGTGCCAGTGAGCAGCACTGAGTGCAGTGCCAGTGAGCAGCACTGAGTGCAGTGCCAGTGAGCAGCACTGAATGCAGTGCCAGTGAGCAGCGCTGAGTACAGTGCCAGTGAGCAGCACTGAGTGCAGTGCCAGTGAGCAGCCCTGAGCTGGAGTGCAGTGCCAGTGAGCAGCACTGAGTGCAGTGCGCGGAAAGCCAGGGTCTGCTTGTCCCTGATAACAGCAGCGACTCACTACCGACCTACACATACAGATAATAATTATTCTGAGTCCTGTCCAAGAATCTAGAGTGATTCTGAATGGAGCTCATTTTCTCTTGCTAGAAGACTAGAATGCTAGATCGTTGCCGTGAGTTGTACCAAGGACCTTTCGCATTTGCTACGAATCGAATGCGAAACGAAAGTTTGATTCGGCTCGTAATCGTTTCGTTGAAAACAGAAGTCAGGTTTCGCAAGTCGTAATGCAAATGTGCATGGCAACTACGAATACGGCGGCCTATCTTGGCTCGCGCACACGTGCATGGATCATGGAATCAAGGGAAAATGTGTACCTGCCAAAACCACATACAAAATTACGTGTACCTTGCCAAAAAATGTGTGCCTAACGGATTCGGAGCGTGCATGCCACGAATGAAGAGGCTTCCATTCGTGAAAACGAGCTCTCCGCGGCGACTCTGATGAATCCTCGAACCCAGGTGACGAAGCAGCATTCGTTTCGTATCCGTACGCGTGGTGCGAAAGGTCCCTACTAATACTGTACTAACAGTGTACAGCACTCCCTGATCCTTAAACTAAACGTCTTGCGGACTCTTGTTAGAACCAAGAGAACATAGTTCTGGTAGAACCTCAGTGACTGCTGGCTAGGGTGAGTGCAATTCCACCTTTCGTGGGTGAACTACCGTACTAGCACGTGCCGTCCTGTTGCCAGCTTGTCCTGTCAGTGTCAGGTCTTGGCAAGCCCCATAGGCCATACCAAGCCCAAACCAAGATCAGCTGCCTAAGGCTATGTTGCATTCTGCACTGCAACTGCACTACTCACTAACTCTATCACGGCGTGCTCCGGACCCCCCAGTGGGCCCCACTGCCCTGTGTCAGTCTAGGGACAGGCTAGGCTGGACAGTCTAGTTCAGTAGTTGTGCAACAATAATAATTATTTACTACTAGTACACGAAAGACCAGGATAGACAGGTATAAAGGCCGGGCCTACATGCGATGAGATCACGCCCGTCAACCATGGCCAGCCTCCTGGCACCGTACTCTAGCCAAGCCTACTACAGGTCTGCTCTCGATATAACAACTCTCACTTGTACATAAACCTCGTTAGTACATAAAAAAATCAAATCCCGCGCCGAAACAGCATCACTCCCACACAAAATTTGTTCTACACAACATAATCCTACATATTAAACATAAACCTCGACATAACACACGCTACGGCGGTCCCCGACGTGCGCACTCTCGATACAACATAAATTCACGTGCATGGTATGATCAAGCGGTAGCTGTAGCTACATGTAGGCAGTTTAGGCCAGTTTAGTCCTACATAACGTAAACCTCGGCATAACGCACCCTATACGCGCAGTCCCCGACGTGTACACTCTCGATACAACGTAGATTCACGTGCGCGGTACAATCAAGCTGTAGCCGTAGCTAGCCAGTTTAGTCCTATTGTGCATATTTTCTGCAGCATTGATGGTATCTGATGTCGATGGTGGTACAGTGTGTATGTTTGCACGGTTGAACCCGCCTTGTAATACCCTTCATTTTGAGGTGCATCTTGTATTTCACACACGGTTTTCTACATAACATACATGTAACTCTCGATATAACATAATGTTTGCGTGGTCCCAGAGATTACGTTATATGGAGAGTAGACCTGTAATACTATCCTTCGCCTGTACGGACCGGTGTGGACTGGGCTGTGGACTGGGCGCCTGACAAGCCGACCGAACCGACCAAACCAATCGTAGATCTACACACCCGCTGTGTAGATCATAGCCTCATGGGCCAGGGGGCTCCATTCACTGTAGACGCCAGCTGCAGGGGGCTGTCCACCGCATGCTCTAAACACTCACGTCATTACTCAAGTATTTTGAGAATGACCGGCCAGGACCCGTCACCGGCGTCAGTGCCGTCATCCGAGCTACATGTAGGTGTCGAACATTCATGTACAATGCACATGACCTGTAGTGGCGAAATGTCGGAGTTTACCTTCACTTCAGCCTTTTAGGTTCTACTATGGAACTTCTTGGTTTATAACTTTTTAAAGCAGGATGTGCCGATAAGCAGGATGTGCCGATACAAGGAGGTTCGTGAGGGTGATCAGCCAACGGGAAAAGCTAGGGTGGAGGTAAAGAAGAAGAAAATGTAAAGAGGACAAAACACTGCGCTGTACTATACGCAGGTAGGGCTGTCACTTGAGGTCGCGAAGTGAAGACTGGAACCACTCCCCACTAGTGCACTGTCCAGCGCAGAGAACGTTGCGTCGGACGACGATGTACCGAAGAACTGCACGACGCAGAACGACTGAGTACAGTAAGATCGGCGTCGTGGGACGGGCTGCTGAAGAACAGTCAGGCTAGAAAGTCACCAGCATTTTCTATTTCCATCCTCAAGCTCACCCCGCTCCACGTAACACTGACAGTATCTGTCTTTTCTTTCCTCATCATTTCTTTCCCTTGCTCATCTGCTCTCCTGTCTTCTTCTTTTGTAGTGTTCCCCTGATGCACATACATGTCATGTACATGTCTATGTAATGAGCAGTGATGCCGAAACCATTGTCGGTCGCCAAAGCTTAGTATGTCCCACCCACTCCACCATCTCCATTGGTAGCTGCTTGATAATGAACATGGCATGCCGAATCGGAAGCAAAGATTAAGAGTACGAGATTTAGCCGACCCTGATCGCACTGACTGAAGAGGACACCTCGACACCCTCTATCATCACTCAGGTTGGGATCTGTGCAACTGACAAGCAGAAACGGAGAAACATTCGCTCAGAAAGGGCCTATAGTATAGGGCTTGAAAGTGCTACGTCACAGCATAGCAACAATTTCAAAAATTCAAAAACTGGATCCAGTTTTTGTATGGATCCAAGCACATTTCAAGCGGTCTTACCCACAGCATGGTGATGTAGCCAGTGAAACTGACTGATTTGGCCACTGGGGGCGGGGTTACAACTGGTGGCGAAATAAAAGTCACACCTGCATGCGACATGAGTGGGTTGCTATGCACCCACATACGTATGCAATAGCAAAGTCACACCTTAGTGGATCCAAAAATAGAAATCTGATGTCAACTTACTACTCCATGGCCATTTTGACGTCATCACTTTCAAGCCCTTCTAGCCCATAGGCCTACACTACCGACAGTGACTGTTACAGTAGAGGAGGCGACGGTTTCAAATAGGAAATAGGTTGCAAACCGGAAAGGGCTCAATATTCACTTATCTCTTGGTATTTTGATTAGGAAACATTATGTCACAGTGAGACTACGATGTGTTTTACTCCGAGGCAAAATTTCATGGCTCTGCGATGACCAGAAGCGCCATACCAAGCAGGTGAGTTTTTGACGTGTTGCTTCGCACTGCGACTTGAGTTCTACGTCTTTCGAAAAAATCAACTTCTTGTCGTACGTAAACAGCGGCTCGCCTCTCGTCAAGAAAGCACCGTATACCGATGAAAACTGGAAGAACACACAAGGTTTATTGTTGCTCTGTGCTGGCTGTCGTGGTGCGATAGCAATCACCTAATTTCAGAACCCAGAGTGAACTTGACATGCACACCAAAACCTTTTCCGGTTTGGAGCCACCTCGGTGACAACAATTAAAATTTGAGGGCAACTTGGAGGCAACGGGCCAACACAAAGGAGTGGCTCAGTTCGATCGACTCTGACCTCAGAGCAAACTTCAACATGCCAGTTTCCTTCTTCCAACATATTTTCGAGTGAACGATCCACGCTGATAATCGGTTCGGGTTTACACAATTAGTCACACCGTTC